AAAATACTAACTTAATTTTCAATTTCGGCACAAAAAATCCACATTAATCAAAAACTCTTCAGTGTTTGCGACTTATTGTTAAATATCTGCGTGTTCAGACTCTGGATTGTCGATAATCTGTGGTTGTACAAACACGTCTCCATCTCCTGTTGATTTCAGTCCGAGAATAAACATGTTATTTCAATCGAGGGACAGAAACTGAAGCTTCGTCTCGTCTGAGTCTCTTTGATTTAAACAGATCATAGTTTAGTAACTTGTGAAAACGCTGCTCGTCTCTACAGGATTAATAATCGTTGATTAGATGATAATTGGACAAAGTGGGATGATTTATAAAAAAAAAAAAACAGATTTCGATTATTTATCTGATTTGGAGAAAAAGCACGAATCACACACCAGAAACGTTGATACCTTTTCGTCAGGTATAAAAAACACTTGTGGAGCTAAAAGCTAAAAACTGGTTCTTCCCTTTGACCTTTGACCTGATCGTCAGGCGCCACGTGCTCTGAACGCGGCTCAGTTTTCTAGAACCACCGTCCGGAGGTGGTCGTCCTCGCTCATGCTGATTGTAGCGATGGCGCCGTCGTTGAACTCGAATGACGTCCCACCATCGACGACCATGCAGGCGTCCCAACAGCGAGAGCGGACACACACCCTGATGGAGCGAGAGAACAACACTTACACATCTTCACCGTCTGAACTTATTTCTTTTCCTGTTTTCAACCACGTTCGTTTGTTGATATCCACATTCGCTTTAGTTAAACGCATCACGGTTGCTATGGTTACGCCTCCTGTCCAGAGCTCTGAACGGTCACTCACTTGTGTGCGAAGCCTCTCTGTCGACTGTTGGAGAAAACTCTGTTGACGATCGGTTCCCTGATGCTGTAGAACAAGCGTCTGTCGTCCGGCCCGAACACCAACGACTCGTTGTATTCCTCGGTAACTGAACACACACACACACACACAACACACACGCACACACACACACACACACACACACGTCATCATCACATAAGTCACTAAAATCATGTCAACAACAGATACGAGGCCGATCAACTCACCCTTTTCAATAAATTCTCGATTCAGTGGAATCTCCAGACCTGACAGAGACTTTCCTGAAACACAAACATTTTACTGATCAGAACATTTCAGAGATAAACCTGGTTTACTTCAGACTTCATCCTCCAC